ATACACTCCAACTTGAGGGGGAGTGTTAAAGAAAATAAAGCTTGATTCTATTGATATTGTAAATTGATTGCAGTTTATTTTCTTTCCTTTTATAAGCACATATTATAGGAATAGGTTAAGGAATAGAATAATGTTTTTGATTTGGTTAACCTCTGCACATATATATGTGCCTTACGNAAGAGCATGGGATGAAAAAAATGTCCTTAGACAAAAGTTTGAAACAAAAACTCTAAATTTGAAGACAAAACAAGAAGATTAGTTCTCTACCTAACTTTTTATGAATCATTTATAAAAAAATCAAACTTCATTTTTCACTACACATCTCAATAAATTCACAATATTATTCAACATTCATTTTGATCTATCTATAAATTAGACAATTTATAAAAATTATCCTAGGAGGCTTCAAAGATGAAAAATAAAGAAGAAAACTATTGAAATGTATTTCATTTTTTTTCCTTAATTACTGTCGTGCGCAGCATTGTTCCAGTCTGAACGGTTTTGGTGCATACAAAAATTAGAATCTTTCCAGAACCTTCTGGATTATCTTTCATACTTTCTGCCCAAGCAAAAAACCTCCTTTTAAGACCCTGCCTCATTTCCTCTTTACGTTTCGTACTCTCCACAGCAATTTGATCACATCAATGGCGTCTTACCTCGCTCTGAAAAGGCTGGTATCATCTAAACTCAGCTCGCCGTCGCTCCTCCTCCGTCCGGTAATGACGGTTCGTGTGGTAGCACAGCCGCTGTCCTCCCGACTCTTCAATACTAACGCCGCCCATGAGTACGACAGCGATGACTGCAATCCAGCTGTCGGTCGACGATCTGGCCGCCGCCTTTGCTCTCCTTTCTCAGTTGGTTGTCTTCTCCCTCTTTTTTGTTACATGGAAACTAAAATTTTGTAGTGTTTGGTCTTGAAGTGATCTAATCTAACTTCTAAGTTCCGTTTACTCCTCTTGAAACGTGAAATCAGATTTTGCTTTGGTCTATCACGTGTTTTGAATATCCCAACGTTGATTGATGGTTTTGATCTTTTCGTTGTTATTAATCTCTCTGGTATTTGTGAAATGTCATCAGAAATTTGACCTGTTTGTGTATCAAAAATTAAATTTCAGATGTTTAATGTACGATATTTGATGATTTTTCACAAATAAAATAAAATTACAGGAATAGAATGTGCAGAATTTGTCTTGAGTGAGTCTGTTGATAAACAGCTTAATGTAGAATTGTTTGCAAGCGAAAGCAAATTAGAGTGAAATTCTGCGTATGAATTGAAGGACATTTTGTTAACAGTTCGTAGAATTGATCTCGTAGACGTAAGCACGTAATATTTCAACCATGAAATTCCTTTGCTGAAATGTATGATTTCATAATACAGATTACTGTAATATGTTAGAATATCAACGTGTTGATACCCAACGTACCTTTTTTCATAATTTTTCTGGAATATTTACATCTGAGAATTTCGAAATGCAGAGGCGATTGATCCATTATCGTTAAGGAGCATGAACCAAATCCTGAACGCAACTGACCTATTTAAGTACTCTCCTTTTGCATCTGGCATTCCTCAAAACTGTGATGTGCGGGAGACGGGCGACGGCCTCCATCTTCGGATGGACATGCCAGGATTGGGCAAGAAAGATGTCAAGGTCTCGGTGGAGCAGAACACTCTGATCATCAAAGGGGAGGGTGAGAAAGAATTCGAGGACGACGAGAGTGGTAGGAGACACACTGTTAGGATTTTTCTTCCAAAAAATCTGTACAAGACTAATGAGATCAAGGCAGAGATGAAGAATGGGGTTCTGAAAGTGTTGATACCCAAAATTAAGGAAGAGGAGAGGAATGATGTTTTTCATGTGCAAGTTGAGTGATTTTAATGTGCTTGGTTTTTTGTTCATTGGAATAAATGTAGTGATTGTAATCATGTGGATCTCTATGTTTGATTTTTTTTACCACTTCGTTAGATAATCTGATTTCGATTTTATGAATTACTTAGGTTGATGAACTACATAATGCAATAGCTGCTATGAACAAAGTTATGATTCCCTTCTTGAAATTTACTTTCATTGATAATGGGAATGTTTGTTAACAATCCTCGTGGTGTTAAATGTTAGAAATATAAATCATATGTAAAATCGAAATCAAATTTAGATGCAAACATCCTACATTAAAATCACTAAAAGTCTAGGATCTACGTCATGTCAGAATATTAGGATTCATATATTCGGATTATATACCTGGATACATTATGAACGATTATTAACTGTTGCGGAATTACGATGACAATCGATCACGTACTAATGAACACGGAACGAAGGGGGTGTGGTTTGTGATCTTCTTCAACCAAATCGTCTTATTTCCTCAATGAGACCGTCGTCTCTCTTTCGGATTGGGAGAAGGAAAACTATGTATGATTTGATGTGTTGGGGACCATAATCAAAATGATCTTTATATATTGTATAATTAAAGTTCTCATAATCCCCTATTTATAANAGTTTTCATAATCCCCTATTTATAACAATATTGGTATCTACTCAATTAGCCCATATTTATTATAATTTAATTAAAAGCTTGTTAGGGAGAGTTTAAAATTCAATTAAAATTGAAAATATAGTCGTTATTGGGTTCCACTCGTCTAAAATATAGCTGTTATTCACTAGTCACTGCTAGTGCTATCATAGATGGAACTGGCTCGATTGGAGCTGCCATTGGTCCATTGCTAGCAGGATACTTTTCGACTAAGAGTTGGAATGCAGTTCTCACAATGTTAATATAGGTTTTGCTTATAACTAAGCTTGTTGGTGCTGAGGTGGCTGCAGTGATTCAAGAACGGAGGTCACCACAATTGCATAGATGAGGCGATTCGACAGTCGAAATGTGATTAACAATATTGGTATCTACTCAATTAACCCATATTTATTATAATTGAATTAAAAGCTTGTTTGGGAGAGTTTAAAATCCAATTAAAATTAAAAATATAGTTGTTATTGGGTCCTACTCGTCTAAAATATAGCCGTTATTCACTAGTCACTGCTAGTGCTATCATAGATGGAACTGGCTCGATTGGAGCTGCCATTGGTCCATTGCTAGCAGGATACTTTTCGACTAAGAGTTGGAATGCAGTTCTCACAATGTTAATATAGGTTTTGCTTATAACTAAGCTTGTTGGTGCTGAGGTGGCTGCAGTGATTCGAGAACGGAGGTCACCACAATTGCCTAGATGAGGCGATTCGACAGTCGAAATGTGATTGCTCTTAACCATGCCAAAACAATTGTCTTTTCATTCATTATGTGATGTTCCAGCTCCTGGTGTTACTTGTTTTGATACAGGATTTCAGGTCAAGATTGGAGGTGTTATTTACCCTTCTAGCTTAGAGCACTGGATGATATAATTAAAGTTAACAGTTTGTTATTTGTGGTGTCCACGCCTGTTTAGTACTATATAGCAAACATGCACTCTGTGATTTTACAACTTGAATGGTTATTATCCAAAGCAAAATTTGGTACCCGTCTGGGCCCAGTATTCTCCGTTAAATTATAATTTTTCCTTCTTTTTTAATCGTACTTTCTCTAAGAAATTACTATTCCTCTCATTATGCAAACTTCCTCTTTGTATTTTCGTCTTTATCTAAAGTTACAAATAACGAGTACGTGAACATCGCTAAAGAAAAAAATTCTTCAAGATGCCCATATACACTACACGTATTTGCCTTCCAATAATCCAATTTTACCTAAAAATCCTCAACTTCCAATTTGACCAAAAGTGGTTCATGGACCAAAGCAACTCCGAAGAACTTCTTAATCGACATCTTTTTCTATGAACCAAAAGTAATTGTGAGGGGAGAGTCTGAAATTGTTAACGCTCGTCCTCGGGCTTCCTGGGTTTGCGGTATTTTTCTTCGACTTGTTTGGCCGAGTAAAGTGCCTCGTCCAATAGCTTTTTGATGTTGGGAACGTCGTAATTCTGAGCAATGTAAACTCCGAACACGGTGCCAGCAATGAACGAGAATTTATTCATTATTATACCCATCAACTTGCTTCTTCTAACGCTTTGATTCTTCTTCTGCAAGATTTGAAGAGAAATATTTGAGATTTTGTATTGTTTTTAACAGTTGGTTACTGCGTATTTATGCAGATATGATACTTGTTGAGCACGAAAGAATAAAGATTTGGGATTTTGTTGTCTTGTTATGGTTTGGAAGGATCTAGAGCACGTTTGGTTAAGCTAAAAAATTATAAAAATACTAACAAATTACTGTACAAAGTTACTTTAGTTAAGCCAAACATGCTCTAAAAAGACTAGGAAATCAAGTCACGTATGGTCGTTGAAAGGACATAGAACAATGCTATGAGTACGTGAAGATTTTATAGAATTTTAACAGTAACACTTGGCAAGTTAGCATTGAATGGAAAAAAAAGGCTAATGGCAGCACCCTATTCAATCTCTGTTAAAATTTTATGTTCATGCAGCTTTATTGAAGGACATATCCCACCTGATCCGTGGACCTTGAACTATCATGCTCGTCTTTTACATGGTAACACCCTATTCAATCTCTATTAAAAATTTATGTACGTGCAGTTTTATTGAAGGACGTATCCCACCTGATCCGTGGACCTTGAACTATCGTGCTCGTCTTTTACAATTACTAGACTCAAAATATTTAAATAAACAAATTATTTTGATTCATTGCAAGACATTATAAAGGTAATCGAGTTTCTTAAATTAGCGATTAAAAAGCTTGGGGATGAGCTTTTAAATGAGTAAATTTCAAGTAAGATTGGATTTTAATTTATTTTAATTGGGTCAATGTACTTAAATTTAATTTTAATTAGGCCCTGTTTGGGGGATTAGATTTTTCTACAATAAGTCAATTCTCATTTTCAACCACACATTCTTCAATAAAATAATATTTTCCATCATATCAATAATTTCTTCTTCTTTTTCAACCACACATTTCCCATCATATTACTATTCAAAATCAATTCTTCTCCCAAAATTTTTTCCCAAACAGGCTCTTAGTCTATTGAAATTTAATTTCAATTTTCACCTTTTTATGTCTGGCTATCTTCGAAATTGATATAAAAATGCTTAATTGATAGTTATACCAAACAATCTTTCATATTCTCGCAATGTAACATGTTAAATTACCATCGCATGACGTCAAACAACGCGTATTTTAACCATTTTAATTTAAACATATTGTCGCAACCTTAACTTTACTAATTTTATTTTTAGGGTGTTGGATAGTGACAATGGGGCGAAGATCACTTTAAAGTATGATTGCTACTAAGCAATGTTGTCAGTACGAGAGATATGTGACGTATTATAATAGACCGTAAAGTTTTAAATTAAATTGAAATTCAGCGATTCATTCGAAACAAATTAAAGTTCATGTCTTGTTTGGCCCCAATTCTCTTCTTGAACTCACTTTCAACAACATATTTAATGGGGACTCACAATATTTATCAATTTTTTAATCACATATTCATAAACTTTATCAAAATTAGTTCCTGTTTTAGATTTACGTATAATATTATTTTATCGAATAATATGTGGTTAAAAATAAGAAAGAGGTAAATGAATTTTCTTTTTCAAAAAAAGAACCCGAACATGAGCTAAAAATCTAATTTTTTGCTAAACCAAACACGAGCTTAATGGTCTTTGACAATCAAAATAACCTACTACTTATAATTTACATTTGTTTTTGCCAAATATACACATAATTAGCTGTCTAGTTGAACCAGTGTACAAATTCTAATTGTATTTTATTTATTATTATTTTTTGTTAACACTTGGTTTGCTTTCGTTATTGTAGTATAGTTGAAATCTCGCATTCAAATAGAGACACTCCACACAACATATACCTTTGTGCTATTTTAAATTAAAATTGCGTGGACGGTCTAACTACCAAAATTAATAATAATTGAATTATTCAACTTAAAACATCAATATATCTACACCATGTCTGGCAACAAGAAGCCTTTTTTTACCATCGGTTGGATAGTAAGTGGGTCCCAGTTAGGGGCCTCGGAGTAATAACGAGGGCCTCGGATTGGTAGCCAGGGCCTCGGAACTCACAACTGAAGCTAGAGAATTATATCCTGATCGAATCAAGCCGGTCCCACCACCGTCACGTGACGCCACGTGTCCGTCCTGTTCTTTAACCAGTAACAGTAATTTTTGAATAATGCGTGGTTAAAAAATAAGAAAAAGTTTTAAATTTACGTATAATATTATTTTATTGAAGAATATGTGGTTAAAAATAAGAAAGATGTAAATGAATTTTCTTTTTCGAAAAAGGAACCCGAACATGAGCTAAAAATCTAATTTTTTGCTAAACCAAACACGAGCTTAATGGTCTTTGACAACCAAAATAACCTACTACTTATAATTTACATTTGTTTTTGCCAAATATACACATAATTAGCTGTCTAGTTGAACCGGTGTACAAATTCTAATTGTATTTTATTTATTATTATTATTTTTTGTTAACACTTGGTTTGCTTTCGTTATTGTAGTATAGTTGAAATCTCGCATTCAAATAGACACTCCACACAACATATACCTTTGTGCTATTTTAAATTAAAATTGCGCGGACGGTCTAACTACCAAAATTAATAATAATTGAATTATTCAACTTAAAACATCAATATATCTACACCATGTCTGGCAACAAGAAGCCTTTTTTTACCGTAGGTTGGATAGTAAGTGGGTCCCAGTGTGAGAAGCGAGTAAAAAAAAAAAAGGCTCCAACACATCAGCAACGGTCTAATTTTTCATTTTTATCTTGATTAGAATTTATCTCGGACTAGGGCCTGATAAGATTTGATCAGCAAAAGCTAAGATATGAAAATACGAGGCCTCGTGAGAATTTTTTATTTAAGATGATAATTTTACTTTTCTTTTGTTTGCAAAATATTTGTTATAATCATTTGTTATTTCGCAATTATGTTCAACGTGATAATTAATTATATTTTTATTCATCGGCTAGAAAAAGATAAATAATTTAAAATAAGATTTACTTGCTAACGATGCAAATAACAAACGATGATACCATTTATTAAACGTCGACAACTCCCAAAATACGATGCGAAACTTAAAATTTGTACACGATTTAAGTGAAAATAGTGGAGAGAATTTAAATTATTGTTCTTAGAATGGTCCAAAATCATTCTTGTTATAGAAAAAAAATAAATAAATCGAACCTTCAATCGTGAAACTTGACAATTCACAATTAAAATTGGTTCGTCCATGATAAAATATGAAATACAAAAATCTCGTGTAATAATATCATGTTTGAAACGAACTTGATTCTTTACTAGAACTTTCGAACATATAAGTCCTTGTTTGGTACAAATTAAATTTTAGATTTTAAATTTTTAATCTAAATTAAAGTCAATAATTCATTTCAACCACGTATTTTATTGATTACACAACTGTTCAACCACACATTTTATCAACTTTTATCAAAATTTATTGAAATTTTTATTTTAATCTGATTTTAATTGCCACCAAATAGGGGTTAGTGTAATAAACGAAATTTCAACTTCATTTTCTTAATTATGATAAGTAATTCTCAATCAATTGTAGTACCAAACAGGTCATCATGGTATACTACACCAAGAAAAAGATGACATTGCTAGCGTTATGGTAATTAATTGGTCCCAAGCAAGAAGGGGACAAAAGATAAAGGTATATCATTGTTCACTTTCCCGCAAAAATTCTGAAGAATGTGACGGATCACAGGTGCTATTTGTCGACGCCTTCACATCTTTATAAGTTTGTAAGATTTCTGATATCGATTCCAGTGATTTGATTTATTCATATATATACGTCGATTGATTTGTCGATAAAATTTCCACTTTTTCATTTGATGCAATTGATTGACTTGTATCTCAACTTAGGTTTCTCTTTTCTTCATCGATTGCATAATTCTGTATTTATTCGGGTTCTGTGCTGCTGCTTTGACTTTTCTCAATTCAAACTCTTCATGGCAATTATTCAATTTCTGCTGCTTGATTTTGGTTCAGTTGTTTCTTTTACGTACTCATAGTTACCCAATTTGGTAGCTGCTTCGTCATTGCGTGGAAAGTGTTTTCTTTTCCTGGAAGATATATTTCATAGACTAGTGATGTTCATTTTCATAGAAACTCTTGTTATTAATCTTTTAAATGCTCCTATATTTTGATGTTTTTTACTGTCATAACCAGGGTTTTTTTGTTTACAATCAACTGTGATTTGACTCTTACAATTACTGCTTACCACTTGTACATCTGAAATTTCGGGAATACCATTGCTTCACTGCTTTGAGTCAAGGATTTTCTACTCAGCAGAATAAAAACAGGGATGTTATTACTTTGTATGATTTTGGTGTATCTGTAATTATTTGTGTGCTTATAGTTTAGATGCCCATCTCATAATTAGAGGTCTGGTTAAAAACACAGCTGGTTATTGAACTTTAAGCTAAATGTCACTTGGACAACTGAACTTAGCCTCTGTTTGGGATTCATTTTTATCTCCTTAAATTCTACTTTTCAAAGTCGAACATTAATTTTGACCACTTATTTTTTTGACAAGTAAAATTTTAGCAACAAAAATGAAACCCAAGAATCTTAGTTCAAATTTTTGCATCACTTCGTCTACCACGGTAATTTACACTAACGACAAATTTGGCGCTGTTGATAGAAATGCTGGTGTAGACATAAATCAGTTAGTGATGCCAGCATGTAAAAAGTGTATAATCAAGAAGAGAGAGAGAGGAAGAACTAGTTTTGCTGACTGCGTAAGTAAATAACTAGAGAAGAAACAAGTGTTGCTGACTGCAATTTATTGTTTTGATGTCCTATCTATCCTCTAATGTTTTCCTTAATTGCTATAAAAAGAACAACAATTTCTTTCTTCTTTCAGTTCTAATAATGTATCATCTTGATTGTATTGCAGTTTCTTGTTTTCAGCCATGAAGGTTCCCTCAATAATGTGATAGGATTTCTTCTTGGGAGCTTAGTTAAGTCTGTGCCTCTCCATACATTTATATTCTTCGATCAGTTTTGCTGGCAAAGAGACATGCTAATTTGGTTCTCATGATAACATTGAATATTGATTGTGGTGGAAGAACTGCATTTGTTTCCCATGGGTGTGAACTTTTTGTCGATTTCGGTGGTCTGTACTGTTGTGAGCTTCATTGGCCTCCAATGTTGGATGGGAATGTCACTAGAGAAATATCAAATTGATGGGTTGAATTTTGAGGATTTTATTAATTCAGGGAATGCGACACTGGTCTTGGATCTGCTTTTGGGTTCATACATCACACTTGCACTGGTGGCCAGCTTTGCACTTAATGTAGTTATCACGGTAATTTTATGTCTGAAGGTGAGTGTTTCTTACATATTCTGGTTGCATTGTAAACATATTATGGTTAAATTCTGTTTTCTTATTATCAATTCCATGGTTGGCATGAACGTTTATAGTTCTGATTTAGCAACTAACCTAACTGTGCGATTGTATCTGGACGTTGTTGGCTTTCTTACACGATGGGGTTGTTTTAGTTTTATGCTTGTTTTCTACATCATAAACTCTTCACTTCTAAAATAACACATTAACTTTGTGTTAACTAACAATTTTTTACGAATGCTAAGTTGAGAGATGCATGCTTTTTGATCTTCTCGTGATTGAATTGACATCTATTGGTTTCTAATACATGAAGCCTTAAAAATGGTCTCGTGTGGCTTTACAAATGGATAGGAATTTTTATTTTTATTTTTTTGTGGTTTCGGTTCCTTATTATTCTGAAATTCTTCAAGAATGAAAATATAATATAAAGTTGGGAATAAAACATTTCATCAGCTGTTATATTTATTTTCTGTCGTCAAAGAAGTGATCAAGCGCATGGCTAGACTTTCACCTGTTTGAAGAACATGGGATTGAAATTGGAGAATAAATTTCTTTTAGATGAAGTTAAGTATCTGAAAAAGAAGTCTTTCATGCTCTTTTATCCAAGGTTAGTTATTTGTAATGTTGAGGTAGAGTGAAGCTTGAAATAGTCATAACAAGTTTTCGCTAGGAAAAAAAAATAAATCCTCAACAACCTTTTCCAGGGACTAAGTTCCCTCTTGGAGGTTCCTTCTTCGCATTACATTAAAGAACGTGAAAAAAAATCAATGTTGTCAAGGGGAAGTACCTTCATCTTAAACTAATCAGTGGACAAACATGAGCTTTACTGCTCGTCTTTTGGGCTTGCTTTGTTTTCCTTCTCTTCAATTAAGTAGCTTGTTTGGTATTATGCTGTTTATGTCACGTCTAAATATAGGCATCTCTCTTGCATGCCAATTTGGGCATGTCAACATACCATCGAGTATGTTGAAAATGATGGATTAACTACTACCTACCTAACTAGGGACTTACATAAGAGAATAGGTTACATGACTTCCAATTTTTCTTTAACATGTTAAGCGAGAAGTTGTACTCAGCATGAATTAGTAGGATAATTTAATTATTGCATGTAGGATTTTAAGTTTCCTAGCTTCTTCACTGCATTCATGGTTAAAAGATCTTTACTATTAGGACTATTTGGCAAAATATATACCTTCATTTAGATAGCAATTTATATATAGTTTATTTAAATTCAGTCAAATCAAAGTCAAACTTTACTTTCATCCGCGCATTAGTAACTACTACTCATTATTATCTACACATTTCATGTGACCCACTACTATTCCTCTTTATAAAGCATTTATAAATTTGCCAAATGTAGGCATAGTAATAGCATAATTGAGCCTGATTGACAATATAGAGTGCCAGCTGATATGAAACGGATCTGGGTTTGCACTTTAGTTTACTATGTCAGTTTGTATTGACTTTCAAGCAGCATTATGTTTTATAGGAAGATGTAAGGCTTGTACAGTGATGACGTTTTCATAGGCAATATGTTCTTCTTCATGCAGACTATCTTCTTTTCAGAGTTGACCCCTTCTGAAATTCGGAAGCTAATCGAACACCTCTTTAATTATGTTATCTACAAGGTAAGGTCTTTGGTGAGCAACATGACGAATATTTTATTAACAAATTTCTCTCTGTGCTTTTTTTTTTCAAAATTCATCTAGTTACTCATTTTTTACTTAACGGTGAAGACTAAATATGGACCTCATTCATTATGCATTAGATCTTGTTTTGCTTTTCTGGTTGCGAATTAATTTGCCTTGATGGAGAAATTTTATGATATTAAAATGGTCTTTGAATTGTCATTGTTAATTATTTCATGGGAATTATTGGGCAACCATTCTGCTACTGTTAGAATGGGGATGATCTGCAATATTGTTTATGAGGACATTACTTGGTCAGTTGAGAAAAATTACTTACACCTGGTTCTTTATGAATTTTAAATCTTTGTTAGACAAAGTTGGGATTTTAAATTCTTAGATTTTGTTTAATCTGTAAACTATATACTTTATGGGGTAGCTATTAGATGTATTTATGGCTATACTTTGCCCTAAAAATTTCTCCTTTAATTGCAGCAGTCACTGTTAAGGTTCTATTTGGAACTTATTTAAAGCTCGACCTTCTTGGGGCTTTTGTTAGCGCTTTCTTGACATATCTGAAATAATTGCATTATACACAGTTCTTTTAAAGAAATATTAAGGCACTCATAATTTTTAATATAAATTTTCACGGGTTGACATTTATTTTGTTGTAGTTTTTCGATAGTTTCTTAAATAAAGCATTACCTGTTGGCAACTTGCAAATTGATGAATATTCTAGAAGTATTAGAAGTAGATTTGCTACTTCAGCTAGTTGATTAGATATGCTTTTATAAATTTAATGTATTTGTTTGGCAGTGGTTTGATACCTTTATTATAGGACTTTTATATGTACCTGGTGTAGTATTTCGTGTAATCAAGTTTCATTTTGCTGGAAAGACAGCAAGTTCCCATGGTTCAGTTTTAGAGTTATCTTAAAATAGGGATGGAAATGACACCTGTGCTGCTTATAGAGTGAAACATAAACATTTCTCCAGAACGTATTTCTCTGTATACTGATGAGTGTTTTAACAGGGAACTTTTCTTCCACTAGTAGTCCTGCCAACAATATCTCAAGCAGGTCTATGGTCAACTTGGTTGGCTGTGCTCTGTTTTTTAAAGGTATTCATCAATATATGCTTTCAAGTAGTAGATATCATACAGATGCACATGAGAGCTTAATTAATAAATTTACTTATCGTGCAGATGTTCCAAGCTTTAGCCAGGGAGCGACTTGAACGTTTAAACACTTCTCCTTCTGCAACTCCATGGACATACTTTCGAGTATATTCTGCATTGTTGTTTGTTTTCTTTGTCGATTTGCTCTGGTATTTTCTGCTGCCCCTTCTGTTGCATGTATGTGTCGAAACTTCTGTTATTGCCTTCACAGCATGTGGACTTGTCTTTTTTAAACCTTTACTCATAAATAGAGAACATCAAATGCGTTTGAAATGTAACATTGACTCATAACAATTGCAAAACAAAATATGTATGAACATTGGCATGTGTGTTGCACCCACTTGACACCTTTTGATTTGTTGTATATAAATATATGTAAAGCCATATAGGTTTCTTTTAGTTACTGGAAATTTTAATAATTGTTAATTACACATGCACACGCACTGATATTTTAAGTTAGTATGCTCGGGCTTCCCCGAGGAATTGCACTTCCATGAGGCATTGCACTGACCATGTTATGATATTCATGAGAGAACCAACGCCATCTCATTTTCTGGAGGATCCTTTCAAGACCTGTTTGGTCATCTCACTTTGGACCTCTCCAACAAGCCTGTTTCATATTAGTATCTGGAAGCCTTTTCGTAAAGCTCTTATTGCCAGAAATGATCCAAGTCTGTCTGTATATTGGCCTGCCATCAAAGTCCATACTTGAGACAATATTCAGCAAGTTTATGACACTTTCCACCCTGTTTCCTTGGGTTGCCATGTACTTGCATTCGGGCCATATTCTTACTATAATTTAGACATGATTCTTCTGTCTCATTTATGATCATTCTGCCTTCCAATCCCTTGTATGCCAGACCCAATAGTGACCATATGTTCTAGATGAATTCTACTCGAGAGGATGTGTGAATATTTTCAGACTAAAGGTTGCTTTTATGATGAGGTTGTGGAACCCTTTTTATACAGCCATGCATGAAAGAGAACCAGAAAAATATGCACATGGATATTGTCAATGCAATGGTAGAGTACATCAATCAGTAATCTTGAGCACACTTGTTTAGTATGTAAGACACCCTCAGATTATTTTACCATTTTGAACAATGGGATGAAGTTATTGAGTTATAAATTGTTTTATCCCAATATCAAGATTTCCCCTCTTACAATATTAATCAACATTTTCTGAGTTAATATTTATGGAACTCTTTATTGCTAAATGCTATTTTCATTAGAAGTTTCTGACATTATTTTTTAACTGTTATTGTAGGATAAGTGTATGCATGACAACATATGGAGCAATAAGTTCATCAATGTTTTTCTTGTTGTTTATTGAGCCTTCAAGCATTGCTTTTGAGACCCTACAGGTAATGTTGAGTTATCCATGACCCATCAGTTATGTTTATGGAATTTCCATATGGAGATCAAAGTTTCTGGCAGATGGTTGACAAACTGTTATCTTTAGGCCATTATGGTTCATGGATTTCAGTTGCTTGAGATATTTCTTCATCACTCTTCAGGAGACAGTGCAAATTGCCGATTATTAAAACTCGTTGATATATCTCCTGCAGGTGCTTTTGAAAATTTTGCTTTCACGTGCTATTTCTGTTGTAAGCGTGCTTGTTTTATTTTTACTGGGTATTCATGCTTCATTATTCTATTATGAGCTCTATAAAGAAGATTTTTGGTACTTGGGTTCCATAATATGTTTGATGATGATATTCTTCGTTCAGTTTGTTGCTTCTTTGCAAAAATAATAATAATAAATAAATAAAAATCTGTAATGCATGATGCTGTATGTCTGATAGATTGACAAAGTATCCCTCCTTTAATAGAAATCTAGGCTGATTCAATTGTGAAAGCCTGTTAGCCATCGATGTGAATGTAAGAATGAAATGCCAAAATAATTCCTTTATTGGTTGAGCATACTTTTAGACATTGTCACAGTTGTCATATGTCTCTGTGTTTCATCCTTTTCTCCTTTTATGAAGTGCTTTACATGTACTGGAAATTTGACAGATATTCCATTCTAAGTCTCCACATATGAATCTTTGTTTGTTATGCGAAATGTGAGGATTTTGTGGTCTTTTTTCCTTTAAAAGAAAATTATCTCATTCATATTGTCCTTGTGTTGTTTTAAGGCCCATAATTCTGAATTCTTAGTGATATCTGAACTCGTAAAATTTCTGATCTGTTACTATTATATTTAAAAAAAAACGATTTGATTGTAGGTTCATTGTGGGAATGGAAAGGCATTCTTATTCGAAATGTGGGGTTTTTCCTTGATGTGATGACTTTGTTGATGGCTGTAGCCCATTATTTGTACATTTGGTGGCTTCACGGCATGGCATTTCGCCTTGTGGATGCAGTCCTTTTCCTGAATATCCGTGTAAAAGTTCTCTGCTTTGTACTGCAATTCTGATTATATGTATCCTTATTGTTGTTGCTGTTATGGTCACTTCTGTAGCAGCTGCTCCTTCGGCATCTTCTTGTCCTTTCATCTGTACTTATGTTCAGTCTGTTTTATGTATAGGCTCTTTTTAGTGCAATTGTAAAACGCGTGAAAGGTTTCATAAAACTGATGATATCTTTGGGAACCCTTTATGGGGCACTTCCTGATGCAACAAGCGAAGAGCTTCGAGCATATGATGATGAATGTGCCATTTGCAGGGTAAATTTCTCTCTACCTTCCTCCATGTAACTTTAATTTTTTCAATCTCCAAGCATGATACCCTCCCTGGGAATGGCAGGAGCCAATGGCTAAGGCTAAGAAGCTGTCCTGCAATCATCTTTTCCACCTTGCGTGTTTGAGATCCTGGTATGACCTCTTTAACAGATTGAAAAGCATGTTTACTGAAACCTGAAATTATGGGAAGTAAAATCCAATGCTGCATGACATATCAATACCAGGTTGGACCAAGGTTTAAACGGGAATTACTCTTGCCCCACTTGTCGTAAGCCACTTTTTGTGTCCAGACCAGAGAACAGGGTCACCCCTCATGCTCCAGAATTTTCAACCGATGAACTGCTTGCTCGTCAAATGAGTGCTGGGCTTGGTAGACCAAATCTTCCTGGTCATGGCATGCACTCTGGAGTCTTTCCAAATCCAGCACAGAATGCAGAAAATGGTGAATGGAGGTCGAAATACTTTTTTATGCTTTGTATGCTACTTTAGATGTGACATGTTTAGAAAATTCATAGATGGGAGAAAGTGGCAATAACATTTTATCTCCTAACATGATGTGGCAATAATGAGGCCTCTTCTAAAATTTTATCTGGCGTGTCTTATTTTGGAATTTTTCAAACGTAAATCTCATCTGAATACTGCCCTAGTTCCTGGTCTCGTGTTATAGCTTATTGATAGTCGTGTAATGCTCTAATTTAGTAGATATAGCCAAGTTTAGTCTTGTTACGAAAAGTTTTTTGTTGTTTAGTTTGTCAAATCTGGTTAGCTCCCAAAGCGAATATAGTTAATACTCTTGTATTCTGATTCATAAGAAATAACTAACTTGAACTCGTCAGTTCTTGCTGAATTTGTGATGAAAACTAATTACCGTCTATGCATCTCTCTTCTATGTTCCTCTATATGTTGTATCTTACTCGGCTACTCCTTCCCGTGGACTCTTTATTATTTTCTTTTCTTTTTTTGTTATTTTCCAAACAGGAGAACGGGAGATTCCAGTTGGTTGGATTCAGATGGAGCTGGCCCATCTGGATTGGGTCGAGTTCAAATGGTGATGAGGCAACTTGCAGCCACCCAGACTTCCCTTGAAGACGCTTCATGGAGTCTGTTCCCTACGAATGCTTCTCAGGCAGGTACATCCAGATCTGCTCACTCTCCTGGTTCTGTCATGTACCCAAGAGGTTCTGGCGGTTTGCGTGTTAGGCCAACATCGCAATCTTCAAACGACAACTTAGTAAATATACTTGCCATGGCTGAAACAGTTCGGGAAGTACTACCCCACATCCCTGATGACATAATATTTCAGGTAAACTTACATTTCAATTTTTAGAGGTGAAGGATGGTTTTTAAATTAAATCTTCATTTCTTGTATCCACTAAAATTAAGCTGTTTGTCTTTGAGGATCAAAACATCTGTTATCATCATGATTATCGCTGTGAATTCTCATCTAAAGGAAATAGTTAAATAAATAACCAGTAGTGAAGGAGAATTGATGAGAACATCAAATTCTGAAACGGAAGGAACAGGGATAGTTGAACTGAACATGCATGTCAAAATCTGTTATGGACATATATTGATCTAATTGATTAGATTTGCATTGTCTTGAATGAAAAATGCCATAATCTTTTGCAAATGCGATTATCCCGATTTAATGTAATCTGCAGGATTTGCAGCGGACAAATTCTGTGACGGTCACTGCGAATAATCTTTTGCAAATGCGATATTAGGTACACNTCTCCTAACATGATGTGGCAATAATGAGGCCTCTTCTAAAATTTTATCTGGCGTGTCTTATTTTGGAATTTTTCAAACGTAAATCTCATCTGAATACTGCCCTAGTTCCTGGTCTCGTGTTATGGCTTATTGATAGTCGTGTAATGCTCTAATTTAGTAGATATAGCCAAGTTTAGTCTTGTTACGAAAAGTTTTTTGTTGTTTAGTTTGTCAAATCTGGTTAGCTCCCAAAGCGAATATAGTTAATACTCTTGTATTCTGATTCATAAGAAATAACTAACTTGAACTCGTCAGTTCTTGCTGAATTTGTGATGAAAACTAATTACCGTCTATGCATCTCTCTTCTATGTTCCTCTATATGTTGTATCTTACTCGGCTACTCCTTCCCGTGGACTCTTTATTATTTTCTTTTCTTTTTTTGTTATTTTCCAAACAGGAGAACGGGAGATTCCAGTTGGTTGGATTCAGATGGAGCTGGCCCATCTGGATTGGGTCGAGTTCAAATGGTGATGAGGCAACTTGCAGCCACCCAGACTTCCCTTGAAGACGCTTCATGGAGTCTGTTCCCTACGAATGCTTCTCAGGCAGGTACATCCAGATCTGCTCACTCTCCTGGTTCTGTCATGTACCCAAGAGGTTCTGGCGGTTTGCGTGTTAGGCCAACATCGCAATCTTCAAACGACAACTTAGTAAATATACTTGCCATGGCTGAAACAGTTCGGGAAGTACTACCCCACATCCCTGATGACATAATATTTCAGGTAAACTTACATTTCAATTTTTAGAGGTGAAGGATGGTTTTTAAATTAAATCTTCATTTCTTGTATCCACTAAAATTAAGCTGTTTGTCTTTGAGGATCAAAACATCTGTTATCATCATGATTATCGCTGTGAATTCTCATCTAAAGGAAATAGTTAAATAAATAACCAGTAGTGAAGGAGAATTGATGAGAACATCAAATTCTGAAACGGAAGGAACAGGGATAGTTGAACTGAACATGCATGTCAAAATCTGTTATGGACATATATTGATCTAATTGATTAGATTTGCATTGTCTTGAATGAAAAATGCCATAATCTTTTGCAAATGCGATTATCCCGATTTAATGTAATCTGCAGGATTTGCAGCGGACAAATTCTGTGACGGTCACTGCGAATAATCTTTTGCAAATGCGATATTAGGTACACATATCTTCTTTTACGTTTTCCCTTTCAAGGCAAGGCAGTAACAGTTGTACGCATAAGAGAGCTTATTCTCCAACACAAGTCCAAAATTTCATAAGCTTCATTTCTGTATATAGAAGCTGCTTATATGTTATTTGTTGCCATTTCAAGAAAATATTTGTTCTATGCTCAAAAATTTAGAACCATGCTTCATGTATAGAAGCATGGTTCTACGGAACACCACCAGATACACACAATGCTGTGGTGGGTGGTTTTTTTTTTTCCCAGTGAGCCCCACCCCACACGTGAGTGGGTGTAACACATCTGTAAAAAAAAAAAAAAAAATTGTACATATGGTTTTTCCCCAAATTTTAACGTGCTTCTTATCACTTCTAGACAAGGGTTTTGCAAATTTTACAAAAAAATCAATATAGTTTAAATCTTGAAATCAAATAAAAGGGGGACAAACACAATTAATATATTTTGTAATTTCTTTTACTTTGACTTGTGAAGCTAATTAATATTGAATGTCGTGTAAATTTTTACTAATTACACGGGTTTAGATTCAGGACGATGCAACTTTGTTGAAATTCAAAACAAATTGAGACAAGCTTACTTATTTTTAAAGTTATAATACTCATTTTTATGATTTCAAACTAATATTATTAAAAAAAGAATGTAATTCGGAAAAAAACTAAAATATATCTGCAACAATTTTAATTAACTTTTTATAATGGGAATTACATTAACTACATAGTATTGAAATATATTTAATTTTAAACAAAATATTAGCATTTCAATTAATCAAAAAAAAAAAATTTATACTATTATTTAAAGTAATTGACAGTTCAATTGAATATGTAAACCCCTAAATTGGCGCTCTATATGGAGACATTTTGTAAAAATGGAACGAGGGAACATTATTGGGTTTATGTGTAATATTATTTTTGGTCTATAAGAATAATTTTTGGGTTTATGTGTCAATTCTTTTTTGTTAATTGGAATTACTTTATATATTTATTAATCAGTTTTAGTTTCAACATGATTATTCACATATAGCTTAAATTCAGTATTTTATCAGATACATAAGACGTGCACAATCGATATAAATAGTGGGTGACGATACTTAAAAATCGTTGAGACATTTTTCTAAAGTTTAAATTATTTGATAAAGTCATTTATATTTGATCTTTAATTCAAAATTATTTCTTTACAAAAAGTCTTTGAATGCTTTAAGATCATGTTGAATCAGCTTATGTAAATTTTAAATCATTACTTCAAGACGCCCTCCTCTCCTTGTAGAAACTATTTTCTCTTTTGTCAAATACTTTGGACGTGCACAATTCTCTCTCTCTCTTTTATTGAGAGCACATTATTTTCATTTTTCATAGAAAATTTTCTTTTGTTGATTTCTTGAATGCATATGCATGTAATGCCCATTTTATTGGGGTTACAGACTCAGGTTTTCTCAAGAAATTTTCTTCCAACAAGGTTTGTTTACTCTTTCTCCATAAAGTTCAATAACATTTAAAACTAAACACTTCCATATTAGACATTACCCTATTAAACTTGACAATTATTTATCCCAATTAATTAATTAGATTATATACAAAATACCCATTATTAATCACAATTGTTAATTTAAAATCCTAAAATTGTTTGAAATGTTGAACAACTTAACCATATTTATCGATTGCATATTATAATCGAGTAGACAATTAAATTTAGATTTTAATTCAAACTCACACATTTCTTTTCGTTCTAATAATAATTTTTTCAAATTTCTGTTAAATTTTTAAGTCAACTTATGCAAATCTTCTTATTTTTTGGTAATTATTTGTTGTATTTTATTGCTATTTGTGTTGTTGTGTTCCAATATGTGTTCACCCTTGAATTTTTAGTGGACAATACTTTTTTATTTATTTGCATCTTAATTTTCTGGTCTCAATTACTTATTTATATTTTAACTTAGCTTCTAGATTTTATTGTTAATTGCTAGAATGATTTGATGGATTCTTAAATAGTCGTTTTGAAGATTTTGACATATTATTGATTAGTGGAAATTGAATGAAAATAAATACAACATTATCCCCCAAATAGCTAAAGAAGTGTTAGCTATTCAAATATTCATAATTATTTGAATTTTGCACTCTCTACTAGTGATCGGATTCTTGATTCATTTTGGAGTTCGTTGAGCGAAAATATGGTTGAAGCAGGGATTTATCCTAAAAATTAGCTGCAAAGTACAAAGAATCTATAATAATTAATCAATATTTGGATGAGATAAATGCACTGAATGATTCACAAAAAGTTTTAGAATATATTATCGTATTTGATCGTTCTATTCATTTTCTTTTATTAATTATTTTATATCATTTAATTATAATCAATGAATTCATGTATTATAGTCTTATCTTTATATTCATGTATTATATTCTTAAATTATAATGATTAGAATCATAGAATTTTTAGTTTGTAATATTTTTAATAATACTATTTATATTATAACATGAAATTTTAAACATATTTATGACTTGACTTATTCAATTTTTTTTTTATCAATCCGTGTTTTTAAATCAAATCAAATCAAATCAAACCGGAAAAGTGGTTTTGACTTGTTTTATTACCTCTTTTTTGCACTGATAACGTGGACAACAGATATCGAGTTCACCCGTGTCCTCGCAAGCTAATTTCAATACGTGTAGACAGATTATTAGTCAATAATATCTCGAATATGAACGTGTGAGAAGCCTTATAACACGAGAAAATATGTTTGAGTGCGGCAATATATATGAGTGAAATTGCTCGATAAGAAATGATCAACAAAAACCAAACTAAAAGATCAAGACCAAACATCTAATTTTAGCAATAAAATAACAAACTAAGAAAGAGAGAGAGTATAGATTGTAGTTGATATATATTAGCATTACCCCCCAAATGACTCAAAGGGGATGTTTAAAGTGTTACGTGTGAAATGATAACCGATGGACGAGGACACACGTGGCCTCATCTTTTTAATCGATGCATCTTATCTTAGGTATTAATTTTGACTCCATTAGCTTGTGGAGCATTAAATATTCTCAAAAAGAGGGTAGCTACCTTTAACCTATGTTGACAAGATTTTGATCTTTTTATTCATTACAAAAGTTCAATCAATCATTGAAAAGGATTTCATAAATTCAAGCTCTTCAAATGTTCTGATTGAGCTTCAGACTCTACTTCATTGAATAGCACAACTTCGGCAAAAGGGATTTAGGTAAGTCCATTCATGAAACCACTTCGATGAAGGCCAACTTCAGTGCTTCGAATTTAGTGGATTTTGGTAGGTCCTATGCGCTTCACGTGGGATGCCATGTGGCTTCGACAAAACAAGCCTTCGGTGGGTAGGCTACGATCCTCGTGGTACGCCGGTAGGCCACGTGGGAGCCTTGGTGGCGAAGCGTAATATGTTTGATTTAGAAGTTGAAGTAGTTTGATTTGAGATTTTTCCACACTGCTTTAAGTAATTTGATTTGAAAATTTATTATATACCGTCCAAATCAAAAATGTTCATTCCTACATTAATTTACTTATTTTCCCTTGTTTCTTTCCATTTTTCATGTGGTATAAACTACAAGTAAATGATAAAACATATGATTTACTCTATAAACTTTTAGAACATGTTTAATACACGGTATTCGACCGCCTTTGGGCTCCATTTTTTCAAAATTGCATTTTTTAAAACTCAATTTCAACCACACAATATCCTATAAAATAATGTTATGAACCCAAAAAAAAAATTTATTATTTTTTTTAATCACACATTCTAAAAAAATTACCTTTTCAAGCATGTTTTTCTCTCAAATCTCATTTTAATGGATTCTAAACAAGGGCTAGATAGTACTATATAATACGATGAGTAATTATATTTTTTTTAGTGCTTTCGTAACGTCCACCTTGCCAAACATTTGGTGTTAAGACAATGTACTCAACTGTAACGATGTACAACCTTTTTAATTCAGTTAAGTTACGTCATATTCATCACAGTAAGTCCCATTTGATCCCCATTTTTTGTTCAAGATGTATTTTGATGGAGAATGTCTTGTTAAAAAATAAGATTTTTTGTTTTAAGATTTATGTACAATATTATTTTATTAAAAAATGCGTGGTTGAAAATAAAAGAAAGAAAAAACGTATTTTGAAAATAATGAGAGCCAAACAATATATTTTAACAATGCTTCCATAATGTAATACTTTGTTTTCAAGATCTGACCTGAGAATTTTGAGACTTTAGACGACTATTTATTATTAAGTACTTATACATAATTTTTTATAAGCATAACAACATTAAATATTTAAATAAATAGCATACTTATATTAAAATAAAGAGTTTGTACTAGGGATGTCAATTGGCCCGTCGACTCGGGCAGCCATGGAAAAAGCTCAAGCCGGCCAGGCCAAAGGCTCGGTAGAACCGAGCTGAATACTGAGCCGACCCGTGGGGCCCGTGTAAAAATTTTTTTAAAAAATTTTGAAATAGAAGGGGGAAAGTGACACTTACTATTTAAAGGCAACACATGTTATATATAAAAATAAAAATAAAAAGATCAACCGGCTCGTTGGGTCCCAAGCAAAAGCCTAGGCCAAGCCTTAAATTTTTTCCCGAACTTTTGCTCGGTTCGAGCCAAAAAAAGCTCGAACCCATTTTGCTCAAGCCGAGTCTGAGCTTCAAATTTCGGCTCGTTGCCACCCATAGTTTGTACGAACGAGAATTATGAAAAGATTTTAAATAAAAAATTAATTAGGATAAATAAGTACGATTTTTTTCTTTTTCAGGCTCCCAACTTTAGAGGCCCTAGGCCATTGTCTTAGTGACTTTGGCACAGGGTTGTTCTGAATTTTGGATAGACGTAATTAATTGTTTGAATTGCATATTAAATCCTTGTTCGGGAGCGATATTTTTCAAATTTTCAGCAAAAATTAAAATGTTGTACACAATAAGAAGGTCCCGCTCCAGTCGTAGTGGTCAAAACAAAGTAGTCATCTCGTTTTATATCTTATTAATTAAATATATTAAGGTTACAATTCCATATAATTTGATCACAAATTCTATATAATTGGTTACAAATCATAAATTTTGTATGCCACAAATTAATTTAAGGTTACAATTCAAAAATTTTATAAATCACAATTTGTTCATCGGTCATAAATAAAAAATTGAAACATCACAAATTATTTTACGATCACAATTTAAAAATTTTTTATGTCACAATTTGTTCATCGGTTACAAATCAAAAATCACATTATAAGTTACAACTTATTTATTGGTCACAAATCATAAATATTATAAGTTATAATTTAGTAGACTGTAGACAGTCACAAATTGTCAAATTATCGGTCACAAATTAACAATTTTTTAGTTCACACATTATTTCTTAGTCACAATTTATATTTTTCATGGGACATATATTGTTTATTGGTCACAAATTAATGTATTGAATGGTCACAAACAACCAAATAATCTATGATCACCATCAACATTTGTGACCATCACCTCACCACTACCACAAATAGCATGACAATCGAACCACCGTCGCAGGAACAACCACCAACCACCACCTCCCGGAAACAAACCATCATCTAAAAATACCAACATCACCACGATCACCACCCGCACCACCACCAATACAACCACCACCAACTACTGTCGCGGCACCATCACCAACTACCGTCGCGGCACCATCACCAACTACCTCCACCACCAACAGATTCGCACCACCAATGCCATCGCCACAACCACCATCATCACCTCCACAACCACAATCACTGCCATCGCCACCAATACCACCTGCACGATTATCATCCAACCACTACTGAACAACAGCCAACACCACTAACACACCACAACAAGCACCATTAAAACACAACCATTTGCGAACAAAACCAAAAAAAGGTAAACCACTAATCTTCCTCCACCACTGTCGACTCATGTTTCCTTGCTTGGGCTCTTTAGATCTGACGAATCTGAAAGAGCCATATAATAGGCGAGGATTTGATGGAGCCACAACGGCGGTCCTGTGCGGACAATCCTCCGCTGCACGCCGCAGTCGTACGAGCTGCTACACTACAACGATGATAAATGGAGGTTATTTTCTGCGGTGACGGGTGCATCGATGAGCAACGTTGCTGTGAGTTCACACCAGCCTCATTGTCGACGTTCACACGCACAACGCCGCTTCTACAGCTGCTTCTAGGGATGGCAAGGGGGTGGGGAGGCCTCGCTAAGAAATTCCTCGCCCCGTTACCCATTTAAGGCGGGGCAGGGCGGGGTCATTTCCCGGTTTAAATATTTTTTTTAAGTTTTTGATAATTTATTTTTATTGATCATATTCATTATATTTAAATAAATAATTTAGTTGCTATTTTCTATTAGAATTAATGAAAATTTCGTTTAAAGTATTGAATTCTAAAAATTTTTTTTTTTTTAAACGGGGCAGGGCGGAAACCCCATTACCCGAACCAGACCGGGGCAAAATTCCCCTCTCCGTTACCCGTTTAAGCGGGCTTTCCCGCCTCGTTGGGGGCGGGACCCGCAGATATCGGATTTTTTTGTCATCCCTAGCTGCTTCGTCGCCCAGTGAAATGAGGGGGTTCCGGTGCCGGATGAAAGGGGTAAATGAAGCTTCGGAATAGTTAGGGTTATGGCTGGGAAAGGTAGAGAGAATCGAGATTGAGGAGAGAAAGAGTGAGATGGAAAGGATTATATAATTATGGTCTGTATAAAAATGAAATATCTGACTTTTCAAAAGTGAAACTTGATATTTGAAATTTGAAATTGAATATTGAAAACACTGGTTTTGTGTAGTTTTCACATTTAAAATTAACATAATTGAAAATTTTAAATTCCGGTGTCGTTTTAATTAGGCCCATGTTTGATCTTTTATTCACACATTCTTCTAAAAAAATAATTTTATATGTAAATCTAAAACTTTTCTTTACGCCAATGTTTAACCCCCTTTAAAATAAAATAATTTAATTCTCATACTTATTTTTAATAACGCATTCACAAAATAAAATATTTTGCTCGTAAATATAAAACTTTTTCACACTTCTTAACCCTTGATGGCCATTATTTACAAAAATAGTGTTTTGAATAATAATTTTGGGAAATGTACAGTTAAAAAGTAAGAAAAATTTTGGTTAAAAAGTAGGAAAATTTTTTAGATTTACATATAGAATACCTTATTGTATAAATGTGTGGTTGGATAAATAGAAAAAAATATTTCAGAGCCCGTTTGGTGCACATTAAAATGAGAGAACGTATTTTTTTGAAGTGATGTGATGGAGAATATATGGTTGAAAAGAAAGAAAAGTTATTGATGTGATGAAAAATATTATTTTATTGAAAAATGTGTACCTAAAAATGAGTAGAAAATGAGAATGAAAAAAATAATGTTGATCAAACATGGGATTAACCATACATTTTTAAAAAATCACTAATCAAAATATCATTTTTATACAATAATGATCATTAGCACATTTTGATCACACATTATCGAAAAAAACTATTATTACAAAATTTATAGGAAAAAGTTCAAAAGTCAGGGATTAACTATACACAATTCAAAAATCATGTTTTAAGTTTAACCAATGCAAAATTCAGGTTTTAGTTAATTAATTAAAAAT